ATACATACATACATACATCATGCATGCATGCATGCACACACATACCTACATACATTAGACACATGTATACGAACATATATATATATATATGTGGATCTATTGTAGACATACAGAGTTTTTACATGCATACATACATGCATACAAACATACATGCATACATACATACATATATAAATACCTTGCGATGCATACACACAGTCTGCGCTTCCTTTCTCGCTTTCTTTCGTTCTTTTTTCTCTCAGTCTCTCTCTGTATATCTACAGATATGCTGCACACATGTACATAAACACATATTTGCACACGTGTACACACACACACACACACAGACACACTTCTTGTGCACATGCAGAGAGGCACAGCCCTGCCCTTAAGAAATAAACGACTGCACACACACATATTACGAAGTACATGCACACACCTTATGGCCAACAGCTAGATCTAGGGGCCCGTTGCACAAGTCCGACTCGGTCTCAAGCTCCTTCGAGTTGGTTGCGGTAGCGGCTCGCCCTAGATACGCCTGCTTGTCAGCCTGACCAAGGCCCTCCACCAAAGTCTTACAGGACCTCAGGCAAATTGCAAGGGGCAACATAACAACATCAGGACCCTTCGCACAGTACTATAAATTTAGTCTTAAGCAAGGGACTTCAAGGAGTCTTGCCGCAGGATGCTGGGCTTCTTGTCCGGTGTCTTCTCATCATCGAAGCTTTTCCACAAGCTTTTCTTGCGAGGCTCCTACATAGCTAGGGTTTATGTGAGGATGGTATAATTCAGGTTGACTCTACAATGCACACATACATTCGCCCGGCCTCACCCAGAACCAATGTCGTTGCATCCGTCAGGGAACGTGCCATCAGGGTTTTCTCCTCAGGGGCCTTGGGTTTCACCTCAGGGGCCTTCGCCACACTTGTTTTTTTGGGTTCAGGGTCCTCCAAGGTCTCTGGAAACTCCTCCTCATCCCCATCCTCCTCCTCTGCCTCCTCCTGTTCACCATCCTGATCATCATCTTCATCACACTCACCTGGCCGAAAGTCCACAGGTTCCTCCTCCTCATCACCACCCTCCTCCTCATCACCACCCTCCTCCTCATCACCCTCCTCCTTTTCATCGGGGTCCTTCTGGGTCTCCTTGACAGCCAAGGTTTCAGTCTTCACCGCCTGCACTGCCGGCAGCAGCTCTGCAGGACAGGGGCCGAAGGCTTCAGTGAGGGCCTGAACCACATCACCATGGGTTTCGACGGGGTGCACAGCCTTCACCTTCGTGAAAACGTTGGCAAAGTTGGCCCAGGAGACATTCACCCCGAGCTCGTTATCCCAAAACTCCTCGATGTCCTCCTCTGTAGTATCCTTTGTAGTCTTTGCCGCCTTGGCCTTGGCCTTCCCCTTTGCAGCACCCTTGGGGGCCCCCCGTTTGGCGCCTACTGTCTCCTTTGCTTCGGGTTCCTTTTCCACTGGCTTTTCGGGCTCCTCGGGCTTCTGTGCTTTGTCTTGCTTGGGCTTTCGTCCTGGCTTAGCCTTGGGCTCCTTGGGCTCCTTGGGCTTGTCTGCTGCTTTGCTGGCTGGCTCCGTGGTTGCTGGGGGTTTCTTGTCATTGCGTGCACGCTTTGCTGCAGGCTCCTCTGCAGCTGTTTCCAGTACCTTTTGCTTAGTCAAGCTTTTCATAACATCTTCGTACTGGGCCAGCTGCTCGGGGGTGAGCTTATTCTTGGCACCCGCCTTCTTACCCATGGCGCTGTGTAGCAGCGAAAGATCCAGGCACTAGCTGAAATGTGCTGCACAAGGTCGAACGTGAATTCACAGCCATGTGCACACAACTCACACGTCCAATTCGTGAAATTGCGTGCTAGAAGATAATTCACACAGGGATTCGTGAATTTCGTGATTCACGTGATTCACGCTTTTTTGTGGCCATGACACGTTCCCACACGTCCGGGACACGGTTTTTCACACTGAGTGCGCTGGCAGGTACAACGCTTAATTTCACGGCTAGCACGAGTGAAAACCCTAACCAAGGCTCACAAGAGGCCCATCTTCTTCAACGTGCCATCCTAGGATTCACGGGCCAGGGTTTGTACTATTGTGGTCTGAAGTACTGAAACCAATCTCAGCTTGTGAAGAACAGCTTATTGAATACGAGAGTCCCATTGGCCAGGAGCCACGATGTGCTTGGAGTTCAAGTACTGGATCACAGGCAGCAGGTCTGCCTGGGCTGCAATCGTGGCTGGGCTCCGGGGCCTCTGGTTTGGGGTTTAGTTTAGGCCTAGGGTCTAGTTTAGGGTCGGGGTTTAGTTTAGGTTTAGGCTTTAGGGTTTAGTTTAGGTTTAGGGTTTAGTTTAGGCTTAGAGTTTAGTTTAGGTTTAGGGTTTAGTTCGGGGTTTGGTTGTGGCTTTCAGTGTGGGTTTAGTTAAGGGCTCAATTCTGGGTTCAATGTAGGTCTTACAGATATCATATGTTTCGGATAGATTTGGGGGGTCCGGGCCTCCTGGTGTTTGGTGACCTACTTACGTAATGGATCAATACAATTCATGACTGATTGTGTCTAATGTAACTGACAAACTCAACTCCATTGCTTGGCGGGGCTAGCGGTTGCTTTATCTCATGTGTGGGCACATGTTCCCTACAGCCTGGTACATGTGTATACTGATCGACAACCCCAAAGTAATTGGATCCCGGGGTAGAATAACCATTTGTTCGTCATTGTGCTGCCGGCCAAATGACTGTACACTGTTATCAGGCCCCAGAGCCGAAGATATACATGATCATCAGATAAACATGAGAGACCACCCACACCTCAAGAAACCACTAGATTCCAGTAGAGGGGCATCTGGCCACAAATCCCCAGCAAGTTTGCCCTGGCCCGACTCCACACAGTACTGCTCGAACATTTCCAAGTCAGACAGCCGATCATCCAGGGCGGGACAGGTTTTCGAAGCTGTCGAGGTCTCCAGGGGCACCTGTCAAAGATCGGTGTGTTAGGTTTATGATGAGTTGGGGCACTCCTTCCCGAAGCCCTGCTGTCTTGGGTGTGGCTGAGAGTTTGCCTTTTTCTTGTATCCCTGCTACTAAGTGACTTAGTAGGGCTAGGGATACAAAGTATTTGGCATTCTAGGAAAAAGCAACCTCATATACTTAAGGCATATTGGGTTTAGGGCTCACAAGGTCCAGAAGGTTCAGGGTTTCTGGGGGGCATTAGAAGGTTTAGGTTTTATTTTTATGAAGCCTACAAAGGCGTCACTTGTTCTAAAAGTGTCTTGGGTTCTAACATTGTCGGTAAATTTCGGGGCAGGAGACATCAGCAGTGCCGGGCTAGGGGTTCTGTGTAGAAGGCTTAAGTCTTAAGGCAATGTCAAATTCACGGGGTGGCCTCCTGAAGCCGTTGAAACAGCCCAGCCAAGAAGTGGCCGAACACCGCCGTGTACTTCCTCGGCGAGAAGGACAGTGCATTGATGAAGTAAGGGGTGCAGCAGGATTCAAGTGAAAACTTGGATAGGGTCAGCCAAGGATCTGGCTTTCCCGAAGTTCCTTTCGTTTCCCCGTAAACCTTTTCGTGCCCAACTTATCTTCATATCTGTTCACAAGCCGCTTGGTCAATCGCTCCATCTCCGACTTAAGCATGTGGCCTGCTCTTTGTTGTATTCCATCGACCAAACTGAAGCAGTTTGACCAGATGCGGTGGCGCTTGGGTGTCGGCCCATTGAACTTCCCCATCCAAAAGTAAGAATGGTAGACCTTAGCTGGGTGCTATACACATGTGGGGCGAGATAAGCTCAGAACATTTTCATTGGGTACATGTGAACATATAATGACGAGAGCCCAAGCACATCAAACTGTTTCCAGAGCTTTTGAAAGCGGGGTAGATGGGGTAGCATTGACCCATCCGGTTGCTCGAGTAACCACCGAAGGCTTCGCCATTGGCACAGGTAGATCAAGAGGGCCACCCTCGAAGATAGCTTGTTACCCGAAGCCACGAACTCCCGGTCCTTGTAACCCCAAAGCTTGATGAGGGAGCGCCCAGAGCTCCATCTTGACCTGATGCAATCACTATGTGGTGCCCCACGACCTATGCATACATGCAGCACAGCTAGATATCTAGATAGAATTTCCGTGCTGCGTACTCAGCCAACTCCAATGCCAAGGTAGCAACATTGAGCTGAAAGAGCGGCAATCCAAAGCTATCACCACCAGTGACCCGGGTCGCAGTCGTAGGATTTCCACCACGGCAAGACTTAGATCGCGAAAGGTACGTGTCTGACATCGGACCCCAAGCAATCCCTTGCAACACTCTGGCAAGCCACCAAAACCCTGCTGGCTGCAGGAGGTCCATCGTGCGTGGATCCAGCTGCAAATCCACAGCGACTCCACGGAGGCGTGCCTCGGCAAATGGGTGACGGCTTCGGTTAAGGACATGTACTTCTGCATGGTTCGGATTTTGCATATGTACACACCGGCCGAGGGACTGCTCGGAGGGCCAGTGTTACGGCCATGTCACCAGCAAAGAGTTCCACGAACTCCCGGTCCTAGCTGGGGCCAAAAGTTAGATTCCGTAGGTACGAGAACATCTTATTATGGTTATCTCCACACATACATACACATACATACGCACATTACATGCATGCATACATATACATACATACATACATACATACATACATACATACATACATCATAAACTTATATCTCTGCATGTATGTATGTATGCATGCATGTATCATGTATGTGTACAAGCATACAAACAGACATATGTCAAATGCTACAAAGTCAAATTTACTTGTTTAGTTGAGTTATCGATCTGCTTTAGTGTCTATAGCTGCCGTGCCGGAATGATGCCTGCTCAATGTACGGGCTCTTCGGCAAGGTCGGACAGCCGCCGAGTATCGACTCTGCCTTCGGGGAGATGGGCTGAAGCTTCGAGGGTTTTCAATTTCAGGGAAAAGTTTGAGACTAAGTTCTTGACTGGGTTGTAGTTTTGGGGCCCTGAAAAGTTTTTATGAATAGGCACCTCTATAGAAACCATAAGGGGGATTTTTAAGTTTCCCAAATTGCCACCTAGTTGATCTTCGACAGCGAAAAGGGCTTGAGCCGTAACTAGGGCTTTGGAGATCCGGGTCTTGGGTTCAGTGGCTCCAATCGAAACTGCGTCGCCCAAATCGATGCAAATCATTGCCGTCACTCAGCCCAAACCATCCACATTCAAATTCCGCGTTATACACTGACCCTCCTTCTTTCCGGCTGGCCATCACAGCTGAAGCAACAAAAGTCCAAACCTCTCTGAAGCCGGAAGGCCTCTAGGATGCAAAGTGCAAATACGGCGACATGGGCAGCCAGCAGAGGGCGAGGCGCCTCAGAGTGGCAGAACTTCTGCGGACTTGCCGGAGTTCTGGTGTCGGCTTCAAGGCATTGAAGGGGCTGCTGTTTAGGGTTTAGGGTTTAGGGTTTAAGGTTTAGGGTTTAGGTTTGTTTTTTTGAAACTACCACCATCCACCACCACCACGACGACGACTGTAACTAGTGCTACAACTACGGTTCAGACCACCACCAATGCAACTGCGACTGCGACTGCTGCTACTGCTACTAACCCGACTCCTGCTGCTTGAGCTTCTGCTATCGCCAGCAATACTAGAAAAGGAGGGCAAGGTACTTAGGATCACCACCACCATCTACCGCCGCCAGGACTACAACTACTACCACATTAAGCAGCAGCAGTTGAATGAGGAGCAGCAGCGGCTGTCTCTTGGTAGCATCTCAGGTTGCAACTGTCCATCAGAAGGTTTCTGCTGCATTGCAAGAATCTGGGTGCTGGCGAACATGAATGATGACCGACCATCCTTGTCATGATGCCGGCTGCAGTCAAGCTGGCAGCACCTCGATGGTTGCAGTGGCAAGTGGCGCTATAACTTCATGAGTGCGGGCGATGGGGGTGAAGATAGCTCGAAAGACACAGCCTCCCTAACGAGCTCCGCACCCACATGGCGTCTGGCGCTGTCGAGCGCAAAGAACACTCAGCCAGATGGCTGCAACGGGCTGGCGGCTTTCTCAACGAAACTTGAGACACCATTAATCCAATGACATCAACTGGTAAGTTGGTAAGCTCCTGGACGTGCTAACGAGATTCTCCGAAGACTCGTGTGACTAGAAGGGGTGCAGCCACGATTCTCTGGAACTGATACGAAGTGACAAAAGAACCCCACAGCAGTGCCAAGAAGAGGACATGCGATGATTCTTGCATGTTCCTACTGTAACGATGCTAACAGCAAGGACTGCGAAGACGATCCTAACCCTGGCTTATGCCATGACTGACGGTTGAATGGAGATAGCCACGCGTTTCTACTATAATCGGGTCAGTGCCAAGACTTGTCGACAGTGACAGCCTGGGGGCCTCGGACGACGGGGATAGATTGTTGCAAACCCCTGGAGCTCACATCGCAAGACCACAACGAAGCATGTTGGATACTAGCTATCAGTCCTTCAGCGTCTGTCATGAGTAGACAATCATTTGCCTCCATCCCAAACAAGATGACGAGTTCGACGTTCCAGCCCTCAGACCGCGAACCCTCAAAAGCAAGGCAGCGGTGGGGAAGGCACCCCTTCTGGGGAGGACGTGTCTCCAGGTTCCCCTCAATGCTGACCTGGGCCGGGGCGTCAATATATTGGCTTCTGCTTGGGCGAAAGGGTCTTAGGCCGGCGATGTCGAGAATTCCTTGAGAGGTCGCATTTCGGATCATTTCTCGTCCGGAGCCCAAGGTTACGACTCCTACGACTTGCTTCTCTGCAGCTGACATCTTGCCATGCTTCCAGGACTTACGACAACGGTACACCCAAGAACCTTCACAGCACTTTTCGCGGGCCAGACAGGCAACTGCCAGAGGACCACCTACTTTCTGCGTCAAGGGCTAAGCCAAGCTCAAACTCCAGGCTGCATCGACAGCGCCAACGTCAACTACACATCATAATTAACAGAGCTGCATGTGCCACTTCAGGCCCTTCACAGAGGCACAGACACACTTGCTCCTTTTTCCAACGAGAATCTACTGCAGGAAGGCAACGAACGACACCATCGCTCGGCTCATTGGCACTTTGGCGAGGGAATCCGTCATGCGGACACCCAGGGTCCTTGTATGGCCATTGAGACCTGTCCACCCAAGACGAATTTGGTGCGACATACAAGCATGCATAAATGCATGCATGCACGCATACATACATACATATACACATACACACACTACATACATAATCATACAGAAGTACATGTATACATACATACATGTGTACATACATAGGTACATATGTGCATAGTAATATACACACCAATACATGCATACGTACATACCAACATACGTTCATAGGTACATGATCCCTTCCCCCCAAAATTAAACGGGGCGGAGCCCCCCCCCCCACCCCCCAATAATTAAAAACTCGGAAAGTGTGTTTGATATTGGGGGTCTTTGCCACTGTTGAGGGGGGTCGTGCTCCTGCTCCTGCTCCGGCTCTTGCCGCCGCACTGGCTGTTGCCCCTGCTTCTGCTGCGTCTCTTGCACCTCCTGCTCTTGCTGTTGCTCCTGCCTTTGCTGCTCTTGCTCTTACTCCCACTATTGCTGTTGCCTTGCTCTTGCTCCTGCTCTTGGTGTTGCTCTGCTGTTGCTCTTGCTCTTACTCCTGCTCTTGCTCTTAGTCACTGTGCTCTCAGGGTATTTGGAGCCTCGAAACCTTCCCCCTAATTCAGAACAGGTTTTAAACGGCAGGGATAAGTTCGGGAGGATTGGCCCCAAAGCGTTTTTATTATTAGCGGGGTGTTTAATGAATAGGGAGAAGGGATTACCTACAGACATACATACATACATACATGTGTAACTCTATATATATATATATGTTATATATCCAAAAGTTTTTGAAAGACATACATACATACATACATACATACATACATACATACATACATGTATAAACTGACTGTTGCAACGGGTGATTGAACGAGTTCCATTCACAAGCGTGTGGGGACGATTCCAGAAACCAACAAAGACCCACGTAAGGGATCCACACCATCTGAAACTCGATTGGGCCTGCACGACAAACGGGCCTCGGGTGGGAGGACATGGGACCACCAAGCAGGCTTCCACCACGCAGCCAGGCTCTCGTCACGCACCAGGTCCTGGGGAGAAATGTGTTTGAATGCCGGCAGACAGGCCGGGATGAACCAGTGCACGCGGGCACAGGGATCATGGCGTGCGCCGAATGCGCCGATTGCACTGGAAATGCGCCGTTGCGCGGGAAATTAAATGCGCTGGACGCACCGATTGCGCTGGATTGCGCCGACTTGCGCTGAATCGAGCTGATTGCGCCGAATTGCACCGAATTACGCCGAATGCGCCAATTGCGCTGATTTGCGCTGATTCCGCATGGACCATTGCGCTGACAAGTTTATAATCGAGTGGCTATGTGCAGCTTGCAGTTCACGGGTAAAATGCATGTAGTCCCACTGGCGGCGGCAGTTCCTGCAATCCTTTCATAACTAAAAACTATATGAGAAACACGGACAGGTTCGACATCCATCGAGTACGTATCCCTTGGACTGATGGGGCGCCTCTGATTCTTAAATCAGAACTCTTACAAACCTTCAACTCCGGGAATAAAGCCTTGCATTGGTGGTTCGCCGCGGATCTTAACATGGGGGTTTCCGAAAATAGGGGACCCTAATATAGTACCCTAAATAATAGGATCCTTAATACAAGGACCCCCAAATAAGGTACCCCTAATTTTCTGAAACTCCCACATCAGAACTCTTGAAACCCTGGAACTCCGAGAGTCGAGCCTCGGACTGATGGGGCGCCCGTGATTTCTAAATCAGAACGCTTACAAAGGTTTAGGGTTTACGGTTTAGGGTTTAGGGTTTAGGGTTTAGGGTTTAGGGTTTTTTTCCCTCTCGCATTGCTGAGAACTATGCCCACGGCGAGGTTTGCTTGGACGTACAGTGCTTACAAAGGGTTTAGGGTTTAGGGGGGTTGGGGGTTTAGGGTTTAGGGTTTAGGGTTGAACTCCGAGGATGGAGCCTTGGATTGATGGGGCGCCCCTGATTTTGAAATCAGAACTCCTGCAAACCTGCAACTCCGGCATAAATCCTGGACTGGTGGGGTGCCGCTCTCAAAATCCGAACGCTTGAAACCCTCGAACTGATGGGGCGCGCCTGATTTTTAATTACGAACCTTGTACTCCGAGGATGGAGCCTTGGACTGATGGGGCGGCCCTGATTTTTGAAGAGCTCTTACAAACCTTGAACTCCGAGTCGGGTTTAGCGGGTTTGTTGGGTTTAGCAGAGCGCGGTCCCTGTTTGCGCGCGCAGCAGTGTTAAACTTCGCAGCATGTCCCGACGGCAGCCCATAGACCGGAAGGTGTCTTGTTGACAGACGCATGATGAGTAAAGCCACGGTCCCAGCCCGAAATTCGCAGAGTTCTCAAAGCACTCCAGGCAGAGAACAAATGCCGCGTCGCG